GGGGAAGAGGGGTAAAGTTCATAGTTCTAAGAATTCGCCCTGTGGTATCTTCTCCTCAGTGACCGACTGTGATCTATTTTTCAGACATCACGGACAGACTCGGTCTCAGAGACTCCCCCAGTCCCGACCTGGCCGACGCCATGGCGTCATCACCGGACGTGACGTCACAGAAGAACTCGGCCGACTCCGGAGACAAGATGAGGGAGATAGCATCTGTGATTCTGGCTGGTAAGATTTATATAATATCATCACACATAATGTTTATGAAGGGCGACAGGTAAAAACAAGGGATGTAACTTTTTTTGGCATTTTGATTTGTTTGTTTGTTTGTTTGTTTGTTTGAGTACAGGGGAGCACTTCGATACAATAGGGATCATTTCGTTCTGAAAAAAAAAAAATGTAAGACAAAGAGACAGAAACAACAGAGGGAAAGTAAAGACGAATGAACTTCCAGTGGCGCCCTCCAACCACCGTTTTGGCATTTTGAGAAAGCACAAATGAAATGCTTCTCAGCCTACGAAATTTCCATCGTATTATTTTAGCTTATTTTCCAAGTCTGATATTGGGCGACTATAAAAAGAAATACATTTTCTTCAAATACCGCCCACTCTATGTACCCAAGGAAAGCTTATCATATAAAGCCAAATTTAGAACAGAATAACAAACACAACAAAACAAACAAACAAACTCATCCCTGATTAAAGTTCAGCCAAACCCCCACAGGCTTACAATATACACAGTGTTAGCTCAGCAGAAAGATGTGCCTGACTGAATGAGTCAGGGGCTAAGAATGCGAGCACGCTACCATCTCCATCACCTGGCACCACAAGGCTCGAAAGGGAGACATCATTTGCCAGTTTTGACACCGCTTTTAATTAGCATGGCGGCCCAGTATAATACTATCATGATAGGTACCGGTCTTTTAGTGTAATGTGATCGAGAAGATGATGATGATGATGATGAAGAAGAAGAAGAAGAAGAAGAAGAAGAAGAAGAAGAAGAAGAAGAAGAAGATACCGCTTGTCTTGTCCTTTCAGCTTGACCCCTGGCCTCTGACATCACATGATCCTCTTGTTAAAACTAGGACAATTCCCAGCTGACTGTGTTGACTTTGCGCGTGCCACATAAAGTACTCTTACCTAGAGTAATACGTTATCAGACCTCAGTACAATAATAAAAATACTTGTCGGTGGTTGGAGGGTGTTGGTTTTGTCCAGCAAGTATGTGGTTGGAGGGTGTTGGTTCTTTCTGTCAAGCGGGAAATTTGAAAACGTACCACTGTTCACTGTTGCTGTCTGTCTAGAGAGAGGTTGGAGGTATGCCTTTTAATACGTCATCGGGAATAGGGTTGGGAGAGAGAGAGAAAGAGAGAGAGAAAGAGAGAGAGAGAGAGAGAAAGAGAGAGAGAGAGGGGGGGAGAGAAAGAGAGAGAGAGGGGAGAGA